ATTTAATTATTTTTTATTTTTTACCGACGGATTAGCAACGGAATTATACTAACGGAAAACTTTCGTTGGTAATTCCATTGGTAATTTAATATATAATTTGTAAGAATAATAAAATAATAATTCGTTGGTAATTCGTTGGTAATCAGTTGGTAATTTCAACGGAAAATGTCCGTTGCTAAAATTCCGTCTCTATTGCCTCCTTTTCTAGTAGTGACTTCATATATATTTTAAGCTGGTAAGAAAACAATGAAACCCAATTTTTATTTTTGAGAAAATCTGAATTAATCACTTTTTTTCTTTTAACTCTAGTATGCAAAAACCACTTCAAGAATTGATGTCCGAAATTTTAAGAGGATGGAGTGCGAGTATCATTTGCAAATTTCCTATTTTTCTTTGACAAAAAGGTAAAATGATGACCTTGTGCTCTTTAGGCACATACCTAGGCATGATAGTTAGCGGGTCCCCACTTGCTTGGTCCTATATATTAGCCCCTATTTGATATAAATTGAAAGAGTAAATCCACTTTACTCGAAAATGGTTGACATCTCGGATGATCGATCCTCACATTGCGTGTGGATCCCACGTGAATAAAATAATGTCCGGCCCATGAGGTGTGTGTGTTAGGTCATCCAAAGTGTCAACCGAGATGTTCTTGTAATACAGTTCAAATTAAAATTAGTAGATTTTGATAAAATTTAAGAAATGTGTGATTGAAAATCTGTAAACCTCATAAATTGTGTGATTAAAATTAATTGTTGACTTTAATTTATGATTAAAATTAGATTTTAATCATAATCAAATAGGGGCTTAGCGTACTGGGCAGACGGTGACTTGGCGTGGACATACTCGCTAGGCATGTATGGGGATGGCAACAAGGTGAGACAACTCACCTCGTACCCATCATTGTAAGGGATTTCTAATTATTAAAATAAAATAAGTTTCTTATTTATTTCTAACTTCTTAAATAAAAGATTATGGGTAATTTATTCACACCGTGATTTCCTTTTTTTTTACATGCACAATTTTTATTTGTTACACCACATATCAATTGTATTTAAGGTCCTCAATTTTTTCTTATTGTTGTATTCGTGCTCCTACATTTTCCACAACATTCATATTCTCAACATTCCATTAATTAACGCATCTTATTCCTGATAATATATATTTTCCATCCACCAGGTTTGTTAAGAGCGCAGAGCAATTTTTTACCAATCTCTTTAAAAAAAATAACAAATACATAAAGGCAATAAAAAAATTTTCATTTCAAATCATGTAAACAATATTTTGATAGAAACCATTATCAAGGACAAGATATGGTTATTAACGAAATGCCGACAATAAGAATTCAACGGAAGAAAATTAAAGAAATAAGTGCTACAATGAGAAAACATTAAGGATGGATTTGATTGTCAATATTTATTATGAAAAAATACTTTTTTTTTCACCCAAATTCCTATTTTTGTGTTGTTTGATTAACATTTTTTTCCATGAAAAACATTTTTCTAATTTTTGTCACGTGCCCATATTTTCCTCAAAATGAAGAAAAATATTTTTTTTAGGGGGAGTGTGATTTTGTTTTCCAAGGAATTCACCATCTCTTTCTCTCTCTTATCTATCTCATCTCTCTCACCTGTCTACCAATAAAAAATAGACTAGCGTAATATTTTTTAGATTGAAAACTAAATCAATCAAACACATTTAATTAATAATTTCTATACAAATAAGTTCTAGAAAATTGAATTGCCTATATTTTTTTTCTTTCCATACAGATTTCATGCTCACATTCAGAGCCACCCTAAGTACAATTAAGATGGGGTGCAAAAGACAAATTGTGGCGCTTGAAAATCATTTAGTTTCAAACTTTACTTATATTTAAATAAAAAATTTGAACTTTTAACATTTTTAAACTTACATTTGAATACCTACTTTTAGGTATTAACAAACATCTTGGTCAAAAAACACTTTTTGTAAAGTCATTTTTTGTCCACACATTTTGTAGGATTTACAAGTGTTAAATCACTTTTCCAGCACTCATTTACCCCATTTAACATCCCTGTTAATAAAAATCTAACCAGACATATCCTTAGTCAACCATTTTCTTTAAAATAATGTTGTTCAATTTCATTGGAGCTTATCAACCATCTATGTGGCATTGGGTCACTGTCACATTGTCTATACATAAAATGTATTATAATCTTATTGGACTATATGATAGTGACCTCATTATTACATTGAGGGATACTAAATGCCAGTGAAACTGAACAATGTAACTCTTTTCTTTATATATTACGACTTACAATTCACAATGACCATATTTTCTTCAACCACCAGTTATAAACCTGCAGCGTAACTGTAATTAAACGTGATGCAACACGTATTTCCTTAAATGCCTCCAATTATGGCTTTTCGAAATAAAACAGCGGTTTTTCAAACATTTCTTACGTAGGTTTTAATCACCTACATACCTCTCTGCCCTCTGCTTCTCTTTCAATATCATGGTCAGTTGTAATTAATTACGCGAACATTTACAAACTTACCTTATATTTTGTTGTCAAGGCTAGCAGACTTGTTGTTTATGTTTTGACGCTGCTGGTAAATATGGCGATTTATGGATATCTTGCATTATTTTTCCTATTTTATCTGTCTACAGCCATTCGTATAAAAGTCGACTGCTCCGGGAAGGGCGATTATCGGAAAATTCAAGATGCCATCGATGCAGTTCCATCGAATAATTCAGAAAATGTATTTGTTTTGATCAATCCAGGTGTTTACGAAGAAAAAGTTGTTGTGCCTGTAGACAAGCCCTTCATCACACTCAGTGGCTCAAAACATGCTGGCGGAGTTATAATAACATGGCATGAGTCGGGGGAAATTTTTGAGTCTCCAACTTTCACAGTTTTGGCTTCTGATTTTATGGCCTGTCACCTCACAATTCAGGTAAAAAAAGAAACTTATTAAGATTTTATTCTTGAGTTCTTTATTCAATTATATTCCTTCTTCTCGTAGTTGGATATCTCGCTCGGTTGCTCCCACACATCTTGTCTTTATTTTCCGGGCCTCCACTGAGTTTTATGGAATTTAACGAGATCAACCGATCATAACAAAAGTAAAAATTCACGTTTCTTGTATTGTAGTTAGTGTGCACTGCAAACTTCTAATACAGCATGTTTAATAGTTTCTTGATACAGCATGAAAGATCTAGAAAAAAAAATATTTTCCTTATAAAATGCACTTTTTTGTGGCTTTTTTGCAGCATTTGTTATTTTGTGAACCTCAACTAAAACTAGGATTCATTAACGAGTGATCTTTAAAGTTTGGGCCTTGTTTGATAAAAAATTACTAACTTTTCAACTGGTCGAACTTTTTGTAACCACACATTTAATGTAATTCACAACTCTGGTCAACTTTTCAACCATGTATATTTGTCAAATTTTATGAAATATGCTAAAAAATTTATCAAAAACTGTCATACGCCCTTTGAATTAATATTATATATATTCTTCGAAATTGAGCCCTTGTTGATATAGATTAAAATCAGATTTTTAGTAGATTTTGATAAAAATTGATAAAATGTGGAGTTAAAATTGATTGTCGACTTTGACTTAAATTAAAATTTATACCAAAGACGGCTAAATATTGAATTTAGAAAAGTAAACTGTAATAATTTTTACGGCGTTCTTTATATAGCGTCTCGACGTGATTTGGGTAGAGACCAAAATTGAATTATAAATGAAATGAGTGTAGCTAAATGTAATTGTCATTTCAGTAGATAAGTAATATGTGAGGTGAAAGTGATTTGTTTTCAGAATACATATGGGAGTGGGGCAAAAGCAGTGGCATTGAGGGTGTCAGCAGATAGGGCAGCATTCTTTGGGTGTAGAATCTTGTCCCATCAGGACACGCTACTTGATGACAAAGGGAGGCATTACTATTACAATTGTTACATCCAAGGGGACACTGATTTCATTTGTGGAAATGCAGCCTCTCTCTTCGAGGTACAATTTTTATTTATTTTCTTTCACTTGTATATTCAGAAATTGGGGTTCTAATAGAACTTATGGACATCGCTCTCTAGCTGATCTGACACGAAAAAACAAAATTTTAGTCCTTGTTTGGGGCAAATTATTTGCCCAAAATAATGAGAATTATAACCGTTCACCATCAAATCATCTGAAAATTGTTGACTTCTCAAGTCTTGTGTGAGGTCCAACTTTGACTCCAACGGCTGGAATTCTCATTCTTTTGCCCAAAATAATGAGCCTCAAACAGAGGCTTACGTTATAAAAATTCAGAACAGAACTCGATCAATTGGTCAACTGAATTTGAAACCTTACGATAACCAAGTTTCGGTCACCTTTTCAAAGAAAAATATATATATATATTTTTTTGTTATTATTATTGAAGAGCAATTCAACCTTGATATGTTCGTAAAACATTAGCTTTTTGTAAAAGGTTGAAAGTGTGTATTTATATGCAGAAGTGCCATTTGCATTCTCTTTCTGAAGGAAATGGGGCCATAACTGCGCAGCACAGGCAGTCTCCTAACGAGAAAACTGGATTCACATTTGTAAACTGCAAAATAAGTGGCTTAAAAAGTGCTCTACTTGGAAGGCCATGGGGTGCCTATTCTCGAGTCGTTTTCGCCCTAACTTACATGTCAAATGTTGTATTACCTCAAGGTTGGGATGATTGGGGGAACACCTCAAAGCAAAGGTAATTTCATTTCATCGAAATCTTGATACATAAATTTTTTTCATAATCTTTTTTAAAATGTTGAATCAGCTCGTCTAAAATTTAAGGTTACTAAACAGCAAAAGACAATATGAAATGTATATTTTCATGTGTTAAAAAAAAGTAGAAATTATTTTCCTGTATTATTTGATTTGTAGGACTTCATATTATAGAGAGTACAAGTGTTATGGACCTGGTTCAAGTACCTCTAAGAGAGTGAATTGGTCACACAGTCTTACAAGTGAAGAAGTTAAATCCTATTTGACAGAGAGCATCAATGGTGGCAAAAGTTGGGTTAGAGCGGCGCCGCCTCACTTCCGGAGAGCTTTCGTGGGTAACCTTTCCAGCCGTGTCGGTGAAAGGCAGCCGTGACAATGGCCTTGAAATAGGATTTAAAATTGCTTCTTGTAAACTTTTTTATGCTTTCTGATGTATAATATGTAGTGTGTACCACTTGTTCAGGGAAAAAGTCACCTATTTATAAAGTAGTTTATTTTGATAATAATTAATTATTTATTTAACCAATTATATTTTGTCCAAGAGTGTTCAAGTTCTTGAAGGCATCATTTGATAATACCGTCAAAGTGTTTTAAATATTAATTATGATATTAATGAGAAAAATTTCAGCAAGATAAAATGATGACATGTGAGATCAATTGTGTCATATTCTATATATGTATTAAGTGGGATCATGAGATAAGATAAAATATGTGATGTGTGGTGAAATGATAAGAACGATGGAATGTGAAAACTCACTTTATTGACTTTATTATTTAATGTCACATTTTATTGACTTTATTATTTAATGTCACCTTCTGCTTTTAAAATTAGCCTATATTGGACAACCATTAAAACAAAACTCATTTTTTTTTCTCGAATTCATTTTCAACCATATTTCACAATAAAATATTTTGCACGTAAATTCATATTTTTCTAGAGAATATACACACGGTTTGATTCAAATTTATTAGTTAGAAGCAACATGATAAGTGTACATAATTTTCTAGAGACGTTGCATCGATGTTTCATTTCTTAAAAATGACTTCAATGTGATTTTCTCCTTCAAAACCCTCTCTAAGGCTGGAGAAGTTCCAACAAAAGCTGAAAACCCCCTTTGGGAGGAGTTGAAATCTACTGTTTAATTTGCTGTCTACCCAATTAATTATTGATGTATTATCTTTAAATTAACATGTCATATCAAATTTATCCTTATTAATTTCACCATTAACCTACCAATTAATGACGTGATAATTTAAAATGACATGTCAATAATTAATTGGATGGACAATAAATTAGACAAAAAAAATTGGACAGTAGATCTCCAACTCGTTCGAGAGCTCCATGGTTGACTAAAGAAAAAGATTGGCCATCTTTGAGACAATTTATTCAAATTCGAGTAACAAGATAAAAATCTTGGATCAGTATTACGTTAAACTTTTGTATTTTGTATTTGTATTTTAATTATTTAAAAATACAAGAGGCATAATTTTTTTTTATATGAAAACTATCATGAAGAACAAAATGTGTAATAATAAAAAAAATTGACGGTAAAAAATTGGGAACATAAGCGAAAATGAGCGAATGTTAAATAATTTTTATAGTTTTCGTGTGAATATAATTATTTTAAATTAAATTAATAATGTGTAAAAATATCTTTTAATACCAAATTTACCCTTGTAGTTGCAGCCTACTTTTTTTGATAATTAAAAGACAAAAATACCCTTAAATGTGTTATACAATTACAAAAATATGATTTTTTTTTTTTTAAAAGATAATAATACCCTTTAAGTTATAAAGAAAAATCAAAGACTTCACTTAAAATTTCAAAATCAAGTCATCTAATTTATCTGTTTACTCCAACACAAATAAAATCTATTTCATTTTTCATTTACTTCAACCTTAAAATTTCATAAATTTACCAAACGCTCAATATGAAAATATTGTTTATAGCTATCACTTCGAATCAGTAAGTATAATTAGGTATATTTAATTTCATTTTCATTAAATTAATATAGAGTTTTAATCGTTAAATCTTATTTCGACATAGGTAAATAATTTTTTTACAATTTTTAAACAAATCTATAATTTTTTGAGCAAAAAAGAGAAAAAAATTCATCTACATCAGACAGATTCATGCTCGATTGTAAAAAGGTCGTCCCAGCCGTCTAGTCACGAAGAGCCTATCCAAAAGACTTTTTTGCCCTTATTTTTTTTTTAAATTCTATTTCGTAATGCAAATATAGGATTAGCGGGTGAATTGGAAGTTTAAAAATTGTATGAAAAGATTAAATATGCTCAATTTGGAACATAAAACGATGATTGAAGACCAAAATTCGCTCAAAAAGTCGGCTCGGGTGACTTGAGACAGCCCATCCATCTAAGCGAGCTCTAAATAGTAGGAACCGACCCAGATTGCTGGGGCCGACTGTTAACAGACGACCTGACCAGCCTGAACCCTTTTTTCCCACCATTTCATATTTGAATGATCTTCCGTTTGATTTTTAAACTTGCAATTTCTTCCAATTGAGTCTATTTGATCTTCGATCACCGTTTTATGTTTCGAATCAACTATTAGAAAGTTGCAATTAGATCTCCATACTTTGTTTATTGTCATTTCACATTCGAATAATCTTCCGTTCAATTTTTAAACTTGCAATTGCTTATACAGTTAAATATACTCAGAATTACATATCCAATTGCATTAAAACACGAGTTACATTTCAATAAACAATATTTACATTTTTTAATAAAATAATATACAATATACTGGGGATCATAATTGTATTCATATAAATTGCATGCTAATTTCCAGCTCCACATATCTATCCATTGATTGTATCAACCATATGTCCAATACTGAAAAATTTAGTATACTTAATTGCGAATATGACACAATAACCCCCCGCAAGTAAATAATAATATGTTAGTTCAACATATAGCTAAAAACTAAGATTTCAAGTTTAAAAAAATTATAAATTCATCGTTATGTCCTGCACAACAGCTACTTGTCGTGCACTCGAATGTCGCATGTTTAGCTGTCATGGGAACGATAACATCCATCGACTCCAGTATTTGCTCCAGCTAACCTTGTGTCAGATAGCTATGATCGTAGTCATATACATATATAGTAGAACCAGCGAATACGATCTCAACTTCAAAGCAGTGTGAGCTCGCGATCACTGGAGTATACATATGTGTACAATCTGTCCATGGTTTTCCATAGCTCGGCTTCAACCCTGTAACCCACTAGAGCATGTACTTAGGCACCATGTACTCAATCCCTTGGAATAGGAGCGTGTTATGCTCAATGTCAATAGCACGTGCAAACCCGGTACTCAGGATGACTCGACTAGGAATGTCAAATTATCTCAGGTGTCTTCGAGTCCGATCGCACAACATTTCCATAGCCATGTCAATATGCTATAACAGGAAACGCCATAAAGAGAGAGAGAGAGAGAGAGAGAGAGAGAGAGAGAGTCATTTAATTAAATCAACAACCAATTATATAAACATAATAAATAACAATGAAATTACACTTTCATCGTCGGCGAGCTAAGCTAACTTCGTTGTTACATTTTCAAACCACTTTCTAGCATTCAGTATCGTCTTCTCCTCTATCGTGTAGCTATCTTTGAAAAAGAAAAAGAAAAAAATATTGCAAAAAGCATAGATAAGTTAGTGAAGTTTAGTAAACGCATAAAATACTTATCTAGGCTTAAGGGATTTGAACCATTCATCGAATGCTTTTTGTCTAAAAGGGTCAACTTCGCGGAAGAGATTCGGAAACGTCCAGTCCATGAACGTCATTCTCTTCATTTTAGCCATGAAGGGAGAAACGATGTACTGTGACTACAATCTCGGCCTTTTGCAGACCAACAATTTTGGCACGTCAATAGCACGCTTTGTACCCTTCGTTACCTCCAGCGTCCCCTCCGACACAAAATGACATCATCTCCTCCTCCGCCACTCTGACATCATTGGCTCCGTCACATCCTCCGCCACCCTGACAGTCATCGACTCCGTCACCCCTCCGTCCGGGGCACTGTATGATCCTCTATCACACCCTTCATCTTAGGCACCGTCACATCTTCTATCAGCCCAATGGTCACCAGCTCTACCACCATCGGGGCCACACCTTCCATCCCAGGCATTACCATCCCCTCCATCCCAAGTACCGTACAATCCTCTATCACACGCTCCATCTGGGACTCTGTTGGGACCACCTACTTCAACACTGTGACCTCTATCTCCACAGATAAAAAAAATGACTCAAATGTAGCATCTTATGTTCACTACGAATCATTTTACCCTAAGTGACCCTTTCATTCAGTACCTCTACCACCCCTTCCTTTTGGAGGACCACCATCTCTCCGTTATTCCCTCGTTGGCCCACTACATTGCCTTATAGCACTGTAGCCTCATTATAAAGGTCTCCTAAATTGGCTCGTAGCGTTCTAATATCATGTCGTAACTCTACTACTTCACCTCTCACCTCTCATCACTGCGTCCATATCTTCCTTCGTAGCACTTCTACCTCATCTCTGAAAACTTCAGTCAGACGTACAAAAAAATTTATCGGTGAAGGTACTATGACTAGGTACAGGAGATCCCGAAGGATGTGGAAAAAGAAGATATCCTCGGTGAAATTAATCTCCTCAATGGAAATGATGGTCAATCTACTGGACGACGCTCCTATACAAATAAAAACATTACAAATTAATAACTTAATTAAAATATTACAACACAAAATGGCAATCAACAAATTATATTGGAAATTAACATTCCCTATCTCGATCCTGGACGAACTCAGGCATCAGATAGTCTTGAGCAGGCAGAATAAATAATTCACGCACATAACTCTGGCCCTTCTCCTCCATCAATGTTGTCAACTCAGTGAAAACTTCAAGCTGACATATTGATATTTCAACGAGTTAATAATCATATATTGAGATTTTGAAAGGACATACAATATAAATCACAAATGTATAATACTCACCCAGGCTCGTCGAGGAGAGCTAATAATTGTTTAGCATTGACTTATCATGTGCTCGCCAATGATACATCCGAGGGCAGGGTGTCTCGTTTCTACTCACCCACCTGCAAACCAGGTGGGGACAACCTCATATACACATATCTGCAACGCTTATAATTATTATATATAAATTTAATAGAAAAATTAACGTTCATTATGTTAAACATTTATCTTTAATGCCAACGGCAAGCCATATGCATTATACTTATGCTCGAGCTTATTCGCGTTGGGAATCAAATACCCCCTCCTGAAGACGCATAATGTATCCTCATAACATTTATGTTCCCATGGATTGTTGTTGAATGCACCAATATCATCCATAACATCCAAATGAAAGATG